TAGTAGAATATACGAATTAAACTCCCTTGGTCAAAAGTAACAATTTTCAATTCAACTTTCTGTTAACAAATTTCTCTAGTTTTTCAGAAGTAAAAGTTTTTATTAGATTCTTCAGAGGTTTGGTCTGTATATATCCTAGCAAAACTGAGCTTCCTGATCCAGTAAATTCCCGGAGAGCACATAGCGCTCCTACTATCATATTTCCTAAAATATCCCATTGTATACTAAAAGTATACCTGTCGTTTCTCCTTTCATATCTTTCAATTATTATCCTATTAGGTTTTTTTCGCAGTAATTATTTAATTTATATGGAGAATTTAAATTTGAATTAAAATTTTAATTAACTTACCGTGGAATTTCTTGATAACGTAACAGCTACATTGAATAAATTTTTGCAAATTTCACAGCTAATATTTTGCGTATAGCATATGCTAATTACATTGCATGGTATTTGTTGTAGAGATATTTGTAAGGTTTCAGAAATTCTGCAATATTCCACTATCCGGAATTTAGCTAGATCAAATATAGGAAGCATTTCCGGATTCCAAAATTGACCCCTCCATTGTTTACTGTAGAATGTTAGTTGTTTCACCATATCTGAAATATGTATGCTAATCATTAAACTTCAATTCAATTTTATGACATTTTTCAATGGTATGTAAAAAAAGAAAAAGGAAAAATAAACAAAATATTAGAAAATTTTAATAACTTGCCGAAAAGAAAAAAAAAAAAAAACTTCCTTCCCTTTCAAAAAATATTTTTTTATTAATAAAATATAAAAAATGATTTTACCCATTAAATGAACACAAATTCGAATTGTTAATAATTCCGTATAATTTGATAAAATTACATTATCATTCGCATTGATCGCAATCAAACAAATATAATAAATTATCAGAAATATCATCATTTTAAATGAATGGTTAGTGAATATTAAACAATTTAGTATTTAAATGTAAACATTTATGCAGTTATGTTTTTTTCTTTTTTCCTTTTTTCTTATCAACCAATTCGATTGCTTTTATCAATGTTATTTGCTTATAAAATCACACTTTGATAAATGATTATTTAATCTTTTCAAATTGTTAAAAAGAAGAAAAAGACAAAAATTGCTAAAATTAAATTTTCAACTATTTTAAATAATAATTTGATATTACAAATAGTGTGATTTGATTTTATTTTATATTTGATTTTATAATTTTATATTTTGATTTTTATTTTTATTCTCTTACAATTTTACATTTCATGCAAATCATCCTTTTCCTGCTATTCTATCCTTTATGAAATGACAAGTGGAAATTTTTTTCGTCAAAAAAAAGTTTTTTTTTTTTTCTGATGAAATTCATGACAAATTACTACTTACTATGATAAATTACTTAATAATTTTACCGATTCAGCAAAATATTGCGGTCCGATTACTCTCTATTACAAAGATATGCGCTTTGATTATTTTCATTTAACCTCTCCTCTGTCTGTCATCGCTGTCAACTTTTTTTGTCAAATACCAAAACATTTAGTTTAGCTACCTGAAATGCTACCTGATATCTAACTATGTGATATCTGAAAAAAAAAAATC